AAGTGTGAACGAGCCCTTACAGTAAGGCTGATCTCTGTGTTTTATTATACAGTGTGTGCTTTTCATTGGTCCTTGCACTTACACTATTGCCAGGTGTGTCAGTTGGGGCTGAGACAGTTCTTGGGGTTGAGAGGCAGAGTGGTGGAGTGAACAAACTTAAGCAGCCCCTTCGGGGGTATCGCTACAGTAACGCAGAGCCATAACGCAAAAAATGGCCTGGTCAGGAAGAGGGGTAAATCCTCTGGAGGGCAAGTGGTTAACAGCCCTGAGCACTGAAGATCACATTTTCTTCCTTTAAAGTCAGCCTTAATACACATCATGCATTTTAAAAAATGTTTCTGTTGCCTGACCAGTATCAACCAATTTTCATCTTAGTAAAATGGTCTATGCCACTCATATTTGCCTATAGTAACTATGGCCACTTTCATTCTGATATGAAATCAACACAAACATATCTGACTACTGAATGCTTTTCTGAAAAAAAAAAAAAAAACTTCCTAGTAAAATAATAATATTAATAATAAAAAAAACACAAAACCAAAACAAAAGTACAATTTTTTTTTGTGTAGGTATTGGTCAATAAATATGTTCTTACTGTTACTTATTTTTTAATACAAGTTCCTCTAAAGAACAATTCTATTTTAGATGTATTAGACAGCACAACAAAATATATTATTGCTTCATTTGTTCTCAATTAGAAGGAAATCTCCAATTAACAACAAAAAGTATTGCAAATCATACAAAATATTTAATAATAATATCCAGCTGCTCTGCTGCTGAAGGGAAAGACAAGCAATCTCTAACACACTAATGCCTACCATAAAAAATTCTTTAGTATGGTCACATACAATCCAGTTTAGGTTGTTGTGTACCTATTGTTCTAAAACTTGTTTTTACAGAAATGAATGTATATTATCACTGAAGAAATTCCTGTTCAGCCACAATAATGAAAAAGCTGCATTTTAAAGAGGCTAGCATCTCCATGAAGGTATCATATCCAGTGATCCTATTTTAGATCTTTTTCAGCAGTAACATAGAACAATTTCAACAATTGTGGGCTCCAACCAGTGTGTCTATCTCAGTGAAAAATAGTGTCTTCATCAAAACAAGCGAAGATTCCTGCACATGTGGGTGTGTTCTGTAAATAAAACATGCATCCTGATCCACACTGAATTAGATGAATAAAAGGGAAGAAAAAAGGGTGTTAAAAATAGCAAGTTGCAAAACAAAGGTTAAAAAAAGAGATACAGGAGGATATTGATAGTTTCAAATGATTGCATATGTCCTTCCTTTGTGGGCCCTAAAACAATTTTGGCACAATGATTATGTGTATTTAGGGGTAAATCCAGTGCTAACAACATATTGGCTCAACAGTGATGACCATATGGCAAAAAAGGATGGAGCTAGATCTAATTTATGTGTCCCAAAAATGACCAGGTTAAGTATCATGTTTGGAGCCTTGTTCTTCATTTCCACACACTCCAAGTGAGACTCAGTTCCCAATACAGTGAATAAATGGTTCTACCTCTCCCTATACAACACATAGAAGCTGAAGCATTGCTACAGAACAATGTTTTTTAACCTTTTTTTAGCTGTGGCACCCTTTAAAATTCTACACAATCCCAAGGCACCCCATTCTAAACTGTAAATAACTAAACTAATAGTTTTACAAAATGCAGCAACATTTACACACATAGGCCATCACACATTAGAGAGGATTTATTTTTCCAAATTTATATTTCCAAATATCACCCAAACCGTACTCTCCGCTCCTCGCACAACCTCCTGCTCTCTAGATCTCTTGTCTCCTCCTCCTATGCTTGTCTCCAGGAGTTCTCCAGAGCTTCCCCCATCCTCTGGAACTCTCTACCCCAATTTATCAGACTATCGCCTACTATGCTTACTTTTAGGCAATCTTTGAAAACCTATCTCTTCAGGGAAGCCTATCCAGCCCTCAGCTTACAATGGAATCTTCTATTCCTTCTAACAGTCCATCCTCCACACTTATTACCTTTTGTACCACTAGCCCCTCCCTCTTAGATTGTAAGCTCCAAGCAGCAGAGCCCTCCTAACCCTCTTGTATTGAACTGTATTGTTGCTGTATTGTCTCCCTTTATATTGTAAAGCGCTGAGCAAACTGTTGGCGCTATATAAATACTGTATAATAATAGTAAATACACCTTTGCAAACTGGTACTGTCTTATCCAATGTTTCTCTTATCCCTCAGTTTCTTCCCAGCTCTCTGCTAATGTGACTTCAGTGCTGATGGAGAGGAGCAGGGAAGGGGCAAACAAGGGTGCTGTGCTGGGGTCCAATGTCCTCCTTTTCAACCGATAGTGTCATTGGTTGTTAGAACGCTGGCGGATGGAAGGTTGTAATGGTGCACAATGAAAACCTGTGGCTTTGTGTAACTAGAATGCAGGCTTTATCCACCTGCTGGATTGTATACAGTTTTTGGGCAATTTTTTAGGCATTTTGCCAAGGCACCCCTGAAGGAATCTGAAGGCACTCCAGGGTGCCTGGGCACCGTGGTTAAAAAAGACTGCTTCAGATAACAGAATAAATGATTTTTGTGTAATTAGTATAGTATTTATATGAAACAAAATGAGTGACCAAGATCACATACACTCAGAAGTGAAAAAATACATTACAATAAAATACATTACATCACTTCTGAAGTTGAATTCTGAGTTACGAAAATTTTCATACCGTTAGTAACCTACTCATTTTCTATATGAGACTAGCAAGTCTAAAAAAAAAGACGGACAATCATTCGTTCGATATTCTCATCGTGTGTACTTGGCATAAGGCTCAGCCACCACTACTACATCTCCCTCTCTTTCAAAGGACCAGTCACAAAACAAACAAAGGATATTCAAAGTGCACTTAACAGAAGTATAGACCAGTGTAGAATCAACTTTTTCTCTCTCAATTCTGTCAAAAGACAGTGGAAATACAGCAGCAAACAAACAATGAACTCCAGCATACCTTATTTGTAAAGAGGGGCGATAAAACAAGGCTGTTCTTAAAACTTATTACTTAAACTAGGAAACGTTATTTAACATTCAGGTAAAACAGCATCTTTTAGGCTGGATTTAGACTTGTGCAGTTGGTTGTGGTTACTGCACCTTACTGCAACGCATAATTCTGCATGGACTCTTAATGCTGTACTTGATAAAGTAAAGCAAACAAAAAAAATGCCTTGCCTTTGCAGTCATTCCTTCATTCTAACAACATTATGAACAAGAGCAGTACATAGATAAAATACAGGTTACAACAAATTAACAAAAAATCAGCACATCTATTTTTAGGCTTAGTTAGGTGTACAATTTGCATTGGCTTTGGTACAGCTCCCTTATTCTAGCATTCTTCAGAATGTTCCTTTCTAGTCAAGAAAAAAGTTACACTCTTTAGAATTAGGATGGATGAAGCATTGCTGGTCCCATAAGGACGGTGTTTCCATGTTCTAAGGTCCTATCAGATACATCTTTGTTTCTATTCCTCGGGGATTTCTATTATTTATAGGCCTGTAGACATTTACAGGAAATCTTTCACAGCCAGGCAAATATAATTGCATTGCAGAAGAATAAACATTACATGGAAGAGGAATTCATAACAGAACACTGGCAGAACAGGGAAGCAAGAATAACAGAACAGGAAGCCACTAAGACACCAGAAAATAAAGGTTGTCTTTTCACAAAATTTATTTGTAAAAACTATTCATTCTTCTACAATCCAGTGTTACTGTCAGTATTGATTTTCAGCTAAGACCTAAGTAGTAATAATTCCTTTCTTTAAACCATGAAACATTTGTTAGGTAAAAATAACAAATAATCCAGTGATGGCAAACTGCTGAACAGTAAATAGGGAAAGATCAAATTAATGTTTCATAAACTTTGAAATGTACTCTAGCAGTGTAGCTAAAGACTATCCAATACATTATTCAGCATCTGCCTAACACAGCATTTTTATAAATAAACTGACTGCTGAGCGATGTGTATTCTTAACTACTTGTGAAGGAAAAGTAACATTCTTAAAAATCACATAAAGCTGGATTAGGCATAATCAAGAATATATTTGTATACGTTGATTTATGTTTTATATATATATATATATATATATATATATACACATATATACACACACATATATATATATATATATATATATATATATATAGATATATATATATATATATAAAATATATATATATATATGGAAGATGAGTGAGTATGCCACCTGTTGTGCAAGGGTACTTACAATATAAAAGGGAAACCTGATGTGAAAATCTTCTATATTATATTGCTTAGTGTAGGGATCTACTGCCCTTTACCGTTCATATTTATTCCTAGATTGTAAGCTCGGAAGAGTAGGGCCCTCTTACCCCTCGTACGCTGTCTGTCTTTGTTGTACTGTGCCATGTATTGTCCCCCCCTATTGTACAGCGCTGAGCAAACCCTTTGGCGCTATATAAAACTCGTAGTAATAATAATAATAATAATAAACAGCCTTTGCTTGTTAATTACCACTATTTGGTCATAGACAGGTACTTCTTGTCCCTGCTAGCTGGATCAGAAACTCCCATTGGAGGACTGTGATGTTTCATAAAGGGGATTTTCCAGGTAGTAGAGATAGAACTGAGTCACATGACCTTGTAGACACAGGGCCTACTGCTGCTGCTGTATTTTACTCAGACCAGAAGCAGAAACTAGTAGGCAAGTATTCATATGTTCTAATCATTTACGTGCAGCTGCCCACAACTTTTTGATTGTGATCAAGGGTCTGTGCACCAGGGAAGTGGAAGCAACAGTGACTCCCTCTCAGGAACTAGGAGTAGCCAAGTGGTAACTACCTTAACCACCTCCCGCCCGCCATATAAGGTAATGACGGGTGCAAGGCGGTTCTCTCGTTCTGGGAGGATGTCATATGACGTCCTCCCACTCTAACCGCGCGCATGGGCGGGTCCGGGAGCGCGCAGCGCAGCGATTGGTGGTGCGCTGTGTCCCTCAGACACAGCGGATCACCTATCAACGGAAAGAGCCGAAGCTGTCGGCTCGGTCATGTGATCAGCTGTGTCCAATCACAGCTGATCACATGTAAATAGGGAAATGCCGGTTATCTGCATTTCTCTCCTCACGAGTTGTCACGCTGACAGCTTGAGAGGAGAAGAGAGCCAGTAATCGGCATTCCTCGGAGGGGACATCTACACTGATCATCAGGGTACTGATGATCAGTGTGCCCTGATGATCAGTGTAGCCCCAGCAATGCCACCTGTCAGTGCCCATCAATGCCAGCTGTCATTGCCAATCAATGCCACCTGCCAGTGCCCATCAGTGCCTCATCAATGCCACATATCAGTGCCCATCTGAGCAGTGCTGCTTTCAGTGTCACCTATCAGTGCCAGTCAGTGCCACCTATCAATGCCAGTCAGTGCCACCTATCAGTGCTGTCAATCAGTGCCGCCCATCAGTGCCAGTCAGTGCCGCCTATCAATACCAGTCAGTGCCGCCTAACAGGGCCAGTCAGTGCCGCCTAACAGGGCCACTTATCAGTGCCATATATGAGTGCTGCTTTTCAGTGCCCATCAGTGATGCCTGTCAATGCCCATCAGTGCCACCTACTAGTGCCTCCTCATCAGTGTCCATCAGTGCAGCCTATCAGTGCCCATCACTGCAGCCTCATTAGCGCACATCAGTGAAGGAAAAAAATCACTTATTTACAAAATTTTATATCAAAAACTAAGAAAAAATGTTTTTTTTTTCAAAATGTTCAGTTGTTTTTTGTTTGTTTAGCAAAAAAATAAAAAACCCAGAGGTGATTAAATACCACCAAAAGAAAGCTCTATCTGTCTCAAAAAAATGATAAAAATTTCAAATGGGTACAGTGTTGCATGACTGCACAATTGTTATTCAAAGTGCAGCAGTGCTGAAAGCTGAAAACTGGCCTGGGCAGGAAGGGGGTATAAGTGCCCTGTAGGCAAGTGGTTAAGGAAGAAGCTTTTGTTCCAGACCATCAAAGCTGACAGCTTAATAGTACTTAACGTTTTCCAATCAAGTTCCCCACCTTCCTTCTTGGATACAAGAAACATTAATGAAATAGCATCACCCACAGAGGGAGAGGACAGGTAAGGGCAGGGGAAACAGGAATGCATCATCTCTACAGAAATCAAACTATGCATATAAACATATAGATATAAGAATTAGAGATGAGCGAAGTATTCAAAAATTCGATTCGGCTGATTCGGCGAATTCGAGGAATAAATTTGATTCGATGCGAATATATTCGCTGCGAATTTAACTTATAAAAAGGGTGTTTCTAGGCTTCAGAGAGCCTTTATATTAGTGCAGAACACTGTACCTTTAATTTAAATGCCCTTGGAGTCTGCTGGGGAAGAGAAATAATACTGTCAGTCAGTATGACATGCAGATGAGTGCCGTCGATCTTAGAATCACCGCACACTTCACTCATTTGGGCAGTCACGGGGCCAAAACCAGAGTGTGGAGCCACAGTGTGGCGGTGGAGGCAGCAGCAATGGGAGGCCATACAGCACCCTATGACAAAATGGAACCCACCAGCAGTGTGAGGAGACCTGAAAGTGGCACATGGCAGAGTGTGGCGATGGAGACAGCAGCAATGGGAGGCCGTACAGGGACCCATGAGAGACTCTGGACCTGGCAGCAGCATGAGGAGGCGGTACAGGGGCCCATGGCAGATTACGGGCCTGGCAGCAGCAATGGGAGGCCCGTAATCTGCCAGCACCCTATGACAAAATGGAACACACCAGCAGTGTGAGGAGACCTGAAAGTGGCACATGGCAGAGTGTGGCGATGGAGACAGCAGCAATGGGAGGCCGTACAGGGACCCATGACAGATTACGGGCCTGGCAGCAGCATGAGGAGGCGGTACAGGGGCCCATGGCAGATTACGGGCCTGGCAGCAGCAATGGGAGGCCCGTAATCTGCCAGCACCCTATGACAAAATGGAACCCACCAGCAGTGTGAGGAGACCTGAAAGTGGCAAATGGCAGAGTGTGGCGATGGAGACAGCAGCAATGGGAGGCCGTACAGGGACCCATGAGAGACTCTGGACCTGGCAGCAGCATGAGGAGGCGGTACGGGGGCCCATGGAAGATTACGGGCCTGGCAGCAGCAATGGGAGGCCCGTAATCTGCCAGCACCCTATGACAAAATGGAACCCACCAGCAGTGTGAGGAGACCTGAAAGTGGCACATGGCAGAGTGTGGCGATGGAGACAGCAGCAATGGGAGGCCGTACAGGGACCCATGACAGATTACGGGCCTGGCAGCAGCATGAGGAGGCGGTACAGGGGCCCATGGCAGATTACGGGCCTGGCAGCAGCAATGGGAGGCCCGTAATCTGCCAGCACGCTATGACAAAATGGAACCCACCAGCAGTGTGAGGAGACCTGAAAGTGGCACATGGCAGAGTGTGGCAATGGAGACAGCAGCAATGGGAGGCCGTACAGGGACCCATGACAGATTACGGGCCTGGCAGCAGCATGAGGAGGCGGTACAGGGGCCCATGGCAGATTACGGGCCTGGCAGCAGCAATGGGAGGCCCGTAATCTGCCAGCACCCTATGACAAAATGGAACCCACCAGCAGTGTGAGGAGACTTGAAAGTGGCACATGGCAGAGTTAACATGTTTGGGGCATGATTCATGGCGGATTTAGTCAGTTGTGTCAGGAACTGGTGGTTTGAAATCCAGACTAATCCACGCCTGATTCATTTTCACAAACGTGAGTCTCTCCACACTTTGGGTGGACAGTCGTGGCCTCCACGGAGTTACAATACCTCCTGCCGCACTAAACACGCGCTCCGATGCCACGCTACTGGCCGGGCATGACAGCCTTTCAAGGGCAAATTCAGCTAGTTGGGGCCAAAGGTCAAGTTTCGTTGCCCAGTAGTCAAGGGGATTGTCTACCTCAGTTGGCAGGGTGCTGTCCAAGTAGGCCCGAGCCTGTTGTTTGAGGTCCTGCTCCAGGTCCACCTGATGCTGCTGCTGCTGCGGCTGGTTAGTAGTTTCCTCACTGCGCTGGTGAAGAAAGCTACTCATCATCGACTGCAGACTGAGGCAGCTGCTGCTGGTGGAGCTGCCACTGCTCCTACCACCCCACCCCTCCCCTGCTGCCATGGCAGCGGAACGCGAGCGCACAGGGCCCACAGTGTCTGAGGATGGACGTTGGCGCAGAAAGGCAGAGACCAACTGACTACATAGGTGGTTTTTATAGTACGTTATTTTGGCCTCCCTCTCAGCAGGTGTGAAAAAGGCCACCATTTTTGAACGGTAGCGAGGGTCCAACAAGGTGGACAGCCAAAAGTCATCCCTCTGTCTGATGGTTATTATTCGGCTGTCGCTACGCAAGCAACCGAGCATGCTATGGGCCATTTGTGCCAAGGAATGCGAGGGACTCCCTGCCTCCATCTTCACAGCATACTGCCACGGTGCGTCTGGGTCCTCTGTCTCCTCCTCCTCCTCCTCCTCCTCTACCAGATGCTCCTGCTCCTCCACTCCTGTCCGCTGAGTGGAAAAACCACCCATTTCACTCAATAATTCCTGAGCACCAATGTCCTCCTCTACCTCCTCCTCTTCTTCCTGTCCTGCCCCCACAGGGGTCATGTGGCGTTGAGATCTGTGCGCCACGTCTACCGCACCCTGACCAGCCATTGTTAACAGCATTTGTTCCAGGACGTGCAACAGAGGAATGACGTCGTTCATCCCATAGTCCTGCCGACTCACGAATAGCGTGGCCTCCTCAAAGGGTCTGAGCAAGCGGCAGGTGTCACGCATGAGCTGCCAATGGCTGACATCTAAGTTACACAGGGGAGTACCTTTATCCGCTTGTAACATCAGGAAATCGGTGATGGCCTTTCGCTGTTCGTAAAGGCGGTCTAACATATGTAGGGTTGAATTCCACCTTGTTGCAACGTCACAGCATGAGGAGTCGGTACGGGGGCCCATGGCAGATTACGGGCCTGGCAGCAGCAATGGGAGGCCCGTAATCTGCCAGCACCCTATGACAAAATGGAACACACCAGCAGTGTGAGGAGACCTGAAAGTGGCACATGGCAGAGTGTGGCGATGGAGACAGCAGCAATGGGAGGCCGTACAGGGACCCATGACAGATTACGGGCCTGGCAGCAGCATGAGGAGGCGGTACAGGGGCCCATGGCAGATTACGGGCCTGGCAGCAGCAATGGGAGGCCCGTAATCTGCCAGCACCCTATGACAAAATGGAACACACCAGCAGTGTGAGGAGACCTGAAAGTGGCACATGGCAGAGTGTGGCGATGGAGACAGCAGCAATGGGAGGCCGTACAGGGACCCATGAGAGACTCTGGACCTGGCAGCAGCATGAGGAGGCGGTACGGGGGCCCATGGCAGATTACGGGCCTGGCAGCAGCAATGGGAGGCCCGTAATCTGCCAGCACCCTATGACAAAATGGAACCCACCAGCAGTGTGAGGAGACCTGAAAGTGGCACGTGGCAGAGTGTGGCGATGGAGACAGCAGCAATGGGAGGCCGTACAGGGACCCATGAGAGACTCTGGACCTGGCAGCAGCATGAGGAGGCGGTACGGGGGCCCATGGCAGATTATGGGCCTGGCAGCAGCAATGGGAGGCCCGTAATCTGCCAGCACCCTATGACAAAATGGAACCCACCAGCAGTGTTGGAGACCTGAAAGTGGCACATGGCAGAGTGTGGCGATGGAGACAGAAGCAATGGGAGGCCGTACAGGGACCCATGAGAGACTCTGGACCTGGCAGCAGCATGAGGAGGCGGTACGGGGGCCCATGGCAGATTACGGGCCTGGCAGCAGCAATGGGAGGCCCGTAATCTGCCAGCACCCTATGACAAAATGGAACCCACCAGCAGTGTGAGGAGACCTGAAAGTGGCACATGGCAGAGTGTGGCGATGGAGACAGCAGCAATGGGAGGCCGTACAGGGACCCATGACACACTCTGGACCTGGCAGCAGCATGAGGAGGCGGTACAGGGGCCCATGACAGATTACGGGCCTGGCAGCAGCAATGGGAGGCCCGTAATCTGCCAGCACCCTATGACAAAATGGAACCCACCAGCAGTGTGAGGAGACCTGAAAGTGGCACATGGCAGAGTGTGGCGATGGAGATATGGGCCCCCTGGCCACGCTTGACTTTCTGGCCACATAGTCTCGGACATACGCTACGTTTACTTCCTCGGGCGGCTTGACAAAAAATTGCCACACCCGCCGAGTAGGAAACTTTGCCCCCGCTACTCCTCACTGGCTGACTGCTACTTCCTCCGTGCACACCGGCACCACTACTGGCCGTGGTGGTAGGCTGCAGTGGAGCTGGTGCTGTACTCCATGGCCGTTTGCCTCCACTGACACTGCTGTGACCCTGCTGCCTCCTGGGCTCACTACTAGCCCCTCGCGGCTGCATTGTGGGTCAGGAGACGAACACCTGTCACTAGACCGTCTACCTAGCCTCTCTCCTCGCCAGTACTTCTTCGCCTGGCTGCTGAAGAGTCGGATGTCTCCCCCGTTCCTTACCGCCCTCTGTTAGCTCTTCCTCACTGTACAGTGGGGCTGAGCCCACAGCATGCGATACTTCGCATTGGTGAGGGAACACCAAAGGACAGGGGCAGGGTCCGAGGACACGTGATTTCAGGTGGGCTTGCTCCCGGGCCATGCCAACTAAAGGTTGAGTCTGACGTACCACCACCGACCGATTGGGCTGTACATGGTGTCAGAGGTGACCTGAGAAGAGGAAGACGACCGAGCCAACCAATCGATGACGGCTGGGTTGTGGGTTGATGACACGACCGCTGGATGACAACCGGGAGCACTGGCCCTCTGTGGCAGCGCCTAGTGCTTGTGCCTCGACCCCTTCCTCCTGCTGCCACGTTGCTCGCTTCCTGAAACACTTGCCTACTCTGCCCACTCCTTCGGCCGTGTTTGTCCTGACATACTCTTTAATTCAACGATTCTGTGGCCTGAGTAACAATTTCTTGTCCTGAGTAACAATTCTGTGTCCCGGATAACAATTCCTGTGTCCCTCATGACATTCTGTTCCCCCATAAACAAGTCTGTGTCCCTGAGTAACAATTCTTGCGTGTCCCTGAGTAACAATTCTGTGTCTGTCCTGAGTAACAATTCTGTGTCTGATAAAAATCTGTGTCCCTGAGTAACAATTCTGTGTCTGTCCTGAGTAACAATTCTGAGTCTGGTCCCTGAGTAAACTATTCTGGTTCCTCATAACAAATTCTGTGTCCCTTAGGAACAATTCCATGTCCCTGAGTAACAATTTCTGTATCTTCCCTGAGTAACATTCTGTGATCCCCTGAGTAACCTATTCTGTGTTCCCTGAGTAACAATTCTGTGTCTGTCCCTGAGTAACAATTCCTTTTTGTCCCTGAGTAACTTTTTCTTTTGCCCCTTTAAGAAACAATTCCTGTGCCCCTCAGAAAACCCAATTCTGTGTCCCTTAAAAAACCCCCGGGGAACAACGTCCCAAAAAATTTCTTTTCCCCTTTAGTAACAATTCGGGGAGTCTTTTCCCCTGAGTAACAAATTCGGGTTTTTCCCCCCTTGGGGGTAACAATTCTGTTCCCCAGTAACAATTTTCTGTGTCCCTAGTAAAAAATTCTTTTGTCCCTAAATAACAATTCTGTGTCCCCTCAGTAAAAAATTTCCTGTGTCCCTCAGTAACAATTCGGGTGTCTGCCCCCTGGGGTAAAAATTCTGTGTCCCCTCAGTAACAATTCTGTTCCTCCCTAAAGTAAAAATTCTGTGTCCCCCCTGAGTAACGGGTTTCTGTTTTCCCGAGAAACCCAATTTTCGGGTGTCCCGAGAAAACAGTTCTGTTCCCCTGAGTAAAAATTTTTGGGGCCCCCCTGAG